TCTTAAACTTTTGGAGAGAAAAAGGGATACTGCTCTTCTCAGAGCCCAAAATCGAAAGTTCTAGGTATAATCCTTAAGAGAAATAAGAGGGGCTGGAGTGATAGCATAGTGGGTAAGGCGTTTGGCTTGCAGGAGGCCAACCCGGGGTTGATTCCCTGCATCCCATCTGGTCCCCCAGCACTGCCAGGAGTAATTCCTGAGTGCATAAGCCAAGAGTAACCCCTGTGCATCTCTGGGTGTGACTCAAAAAGAAAAAAAAGATAAACAAGAGGAAGAGTGGGTGGAGAGCTCTGAAAACGTGTTCTTAAAGCAGGATCTATAGTACAAGGGTTAATGTGCTTGTCTTGCACATAGCCACTCCAGGTTTGATCCCCATATAGTCCCCTGGGCACAGCCAAGTATGCTTGTCCCCCCAAAGCAAATGTGCTCTTTTTCATTTGTGTCATGTGATGGGCAAGAACACGAACTCAATGGAAGGGGGTGGGGGCGGAACCTGCCAGAGAATCACAACTCTAGTAATCACTAGAGTTGCCTCATTCTAACGATGAGCCAAGTTAGCTCTACCAAATTCACTGGTCATTTAGTCCCCTGACATCTAAAAGCGTCTTAATATGGGTTGTGTAAACATATGGAGGGAAGCAGAAATTCACCCCTAAGCCTTATGCGATCTCTAAGTTCTCTGAGACAACCAGGGCCAATGGAGTGTTTTCTGCCAAAACAATCCTGCCCAAGGTTCTCTGACACTGGCTACTGAACAAAGTGTTTTACACCCACTATCTCTGATGTGCCACTTGGGACCTGTCTGAGGACCCGCTGAATCTGAGTCAGAAGATGATCAAAACCAGCAGGACTTACTCAGAGGCAACATTTTTCCCCTCTTGCAAAAGCAACATGTCGGTATGTTTTCCTTGGTAAAGGTTCCTCTTCGACCAGAATCAGGACAGACACTGGAAGGAAAGGTGAGTAAGCAGCCCTGGGGAGCCTCGGGCAGGGGTGAGGAGCAGAGAGTGACAAATCTGGACTTGAAACCTGGTTGCACCAGTTACTCTGTGATCTTGGGCACAAATCTCACCAATCTAACTGCCATAAAATGAAAACTACCTCCATCGCTGTCCTTAGAGGACTTAAGAAGATAACCCTGGGACATCCGCAAAGCAGGTTGGCACAGTTCAAACCAAAAAACATTTCAGCACTTTTCTCAAGCCTTCTTTTATTTTTATTTTTACTTTTATTTTTATTTTTTTGCTTGTTGGGTCACACCCAGCGATGCTCAGGGGTTACTCCTGGCTCTGCACTTATGCAACTCAGGAATTAGTCCTGGCGGTGCTTGGGGGACCATATGGGATGCTGGGAATTGAACCTGGGTTGGCCGCGTGCAAGTCAAACACCCTACCTGCACACTATCACTCCAGCCCCAAGCCTTCATTATTATTTTCTTTGGGGCCACATCCAGCGGTGCCCAGAGCTTACTCCTGGCTCTGACTTAGTTACCCCTAGCAAGGATGCTAGGGATCAAACCCAGGTCAAGGTCAGCCTCATGTACGGGGAGCGCTGTACCCACTGTAATATATATATATATATATATATATATATATATATATATATATATTTCAAGTCCTCCAAGCCTGTAAATCTCCCCCTCATCCCCATCCCAAGGAGAGCAGAGCCAGCTATCAAACCCAGAGACTCACATGTATTGAGTGCCTGAGCTTCCCACCCCAACCCCAGCCAAGTTTTGCTTTGCAACATTTGACTTCATCTTAAGGGGAAGAGGGAAACAAAGTTGACAGAGGAGAAAGCTACTCTGTAAGCTGATACTGTGTCTAGTGGGAAAAAAAAAACCATCCCCAAGCCAGAGCTATAGTATTCCGGAAAGGGCTGCTCTTGCCTTGCAGATGGTTAACCAAGGTTCTATACCCAGGATCCCATATGGCCCCTCTGAGTGATTCCTCAGTGCAGAGCCAGGAGGAACCTCTGAGCATTGCTAGGTATGCCCCACCCCCCCCAAAAAAGAAAAAAAATGCCCCTCCTTCAAACCTAATCAAATCAATTCTCTTTCAAGAAGTTCCTCTCCGCAACCTGAGTAAATGTGTGAAATGTGTGCCACAACCCCACTCCCTTCATTCCTTAACAAGTTAGACATTTCCTGGCAGTACAAAACACATGTGGGGGGGGGGGGGTTCCAAGGTTCACTCTCTGACAAATGAAGTGACTGTGGGGTGAAAGTGCAGGTTTGCCAGTGAAACAGAAGGAACCCCGCGTATCCAAGTCAGAAAGTTTCGAGTGTTTTTGACAAGGGAAAAAGAACCAGTAACTGCATCGCTGGGTGTGATCGAAAAAGAAAAAAAAAAGATGGTACTTGTGTCACCATTTGGAGGAAGTGGAACATGTTAGGGGTATTTTTTGGGGGGAATTTGAGCTCACGCCTGGTGAGGCTCAGGGGTTACTCCTGGCTCTGCTCTCAGGAATTTCTCCTGGTGGTGTTCAGGGGACCATCTGGGATGCAGGTTATCGAACCTGGGACAGCTGAATGCAAGGCAAATGCCCTCCCCGCTGTACTATGGCTCCAGACCGGTCATGGAAAACTTTAGAAAGAAGACATGGGTATAAGGAAAGATACATCAAGAAATCATATGTCCCTTTTGGCAAAAAACTACGGATGGCAGGAGAAAAAGGAGAAGTTTAGAGGTTACTGTTCTTGGAAAAGTGGAAATGCAAATCTAATAAACAATGGCCAGGAAATTACTTAAATACCTTCAAATTTATATGCTTCCTTTAGGACAGTTTTTATCTACTGTACTCTTTCCGGGGACAGTAGGCTGTTATTTTTGAGTCATAATTACAACATGGGACAGTATGACTGGAACAATTCCTGGGAATCACTGTGACAGAAGAACTTATTCAGCAAATCTATTATCTGCATTCTGCAGGGAGTGGTTTAGAAACTTTTCCTTATAGCCGAAGTGGGGGAAACACCTTGTTGAACCATTCCTAAGATTTTTTCCCCCTAATTTCACACAGGATCTCTAAAGTCCTTATCTGCTTTGGGAGCATCCCTGGATTCTACATTACAGAACCCAACAAACGAACCCATGTTGTCTGTGTCACACAGGGAAAAAACGATTGTGATCGTGTGAAGTAAATTCTCCATCAACAGAAAGAAGCCTCCTGAGAAACAAATCAATGGGTCCGAAACAACCTGTGGTACACACAGAAGACTGGCAGACTACATGTACAACAACACGCAAGAGTCAGGAAGAGAAACACAGCAAGTTGGACTTCACTAAAGAAAGTCTACAATGGTAGGAAACTTTACCCACATTTGCAAGGCCTGAGGGCTGTATAAACTTGAGGACAATTGCCATGCTGCGTTTGGTCTGGGCCCCAGAGTTTTACAACCTAGTTGTCTGCATTAAAGAATAGAAAAGCTTCAGGAAGACTCTACCACCAGCTTTTCTTCAAGAATGTGAATGCTAAATTTGTGTTCCTGCTTGACAGCTATAGGGCATCCCGTTGGCCAGAATCTGTTCTCTACCAATCTGGCCCCTGTGGACATTTATTTGTGTGGGCAATCTTGAATATGGCTTCAGAAAGGTACTCTGCAAGGATCTTGAGGGTCACTCTTAATTCGGGAAGTTGGTAATATTCTCTGTGTAATTTACATAGGAATCAAATCCAGTTAGGCGGACTTAAGTATGATTCAGGATTATTTTAGAAACACTGACGTGAAAATAAGACAAAGTAAAACCTGCCCTGGGTGATCAAAAGATAAACACTTAAGAGATGGTAGAGCTGCCTTGGCAGCCCAAGCCAGAGTAAGTCATTAGATCAGGCCCAAACTAAAAATGAACTGAAAAAGAAAGCTCTGCACTTTCAGGGGACTAGTATCAAAATTAAGGCAAAAAGGCAGCTTTCAGTCAAGAGGTCCGCTAAAGAGAACTTTAGGAAAATCCTCTGCATATGCACTATTCCATTTGTCTAGGGTACCTACATATAATTTACATACATAAAATGCATGGAAATGATTTGTGATTGCAAAAATAAGAAACTAATCAACCACTAAAAATTTACATCACCTTACCAGGTTTGTCAAATACCCACTGAATGCACAGGCTCTGCAACTGCAATTGCTTATCTAAAGCGCTTTATTAGATTGAAACGACTTTTACGTTATATCACTTTAAGCACAAGTTTTCCTAATAGACAAAACAAATTGATCAGCTGAGAGTCACTTAAATACCATCCCGTTAGGCTAGAACTCTGTTCTAATGCACGGAAATAAAGAAGTAAAATTTCCCTGCCACTTTATACAGGGAAAGGGGTGGGGGGAGAGAAGAGTAGACTCATCTGCTAGAAAGTAACACAACTGCAATTTACAAGTCTTGGAAATGAAAGATTCGGGTTAAAGCAATGTCGTGTGGCTGTCTCCCCAATAGGTTCTGCCACTTCCCCGACCCTTAGCATTCTACCTTCTGCAATTTCTAGGGGAAAGGATGACAATGCATCGTCAAGCTGACGCTTTGCTGCCCCAAAGGACGCCCGTGTTATGCTAGCACAGCTGTGACACAGCTCCTCCATCCAAGGACGTCCTGCGCCCCGCAGGCCAACTGCTCCCAAAGAAGACCGCAGTTGCGGTCACTGCTGCCACCTGTCCCTGCTGGGGGCTGCCCGGTCTATACGGATGCTCGGCGATCCGAGCTCCCTTTGGAGGAGGAGTCCCCCCGATTACGAGGTGACCCGGCTTCACCGCCCGGCCAGGGCTGCTCAGCATTGCCGCGAGGGTCGCATGAGCTCGAGCTCCTCCAGGCCCGCGTGCGGAACAGCCCCAGCGTGGCCGACCACGCTCCGGGGGCCTTGGCCTGTTTCTCATGACAGCACGGGGTATGGGGAGTCTGGGTTCGGGGACCGCGGGAGACGCGAGATGGGGACGGACACCCAGACCTGGGACTCTTAAGGCTCCCGTCCCGGCTAAATGCTTCCTCAAATGTCACCCGGCTCACCAAAAATCGCGTAGAGCTGGTGCCTTGGTCCACTGCTCCCACCAAAGGGCCCAAAACAGCTTTCTTCGGTGCTGCCATGAAACCAGCTTCGGGTCGGCTGGCAGGCGCAGTCCGTATCCCGGGTGACTGCGACAGGCGAGGGAGGGGCCGGCTCTCCGGAGGGCGAGGTGGCGGCAACCGCAGAACGCCGGGACCGCGCTCTGGATTGCCCCTTTAGCCGCGCGGAACCTTCTCACCCCGCCCCTTCGGTGGAGGCTCCGCCCCCGGGCTGCGCTCTCCTCCAGTCGGAGGCCGGGCTCGGAAGAGGCGGGGTGCGCTCCAGCCAGCCAGCCAATTAGCTCCCCCGTAAAGAGGCGGACCGTTCAAACAATCGAAGGCATTGGGACGTCACGGAGGCGGGGCCTGGGCGCGGCGGAGGTGGTGGCCCGCGCGACGAGTCACGTGGGAACCCGGGAACCTAGAGGCTGAGCCAGCCTGCTGCAGAGTCGGGGGCGGGGACCAATGTCGCCCCTTGGCAATGTGCGCCACCGGTTCGTGGAAAGGGCACCACCCCACGCATGCCCTGGGGCTCCTGCCGGAGGATGAGTCCGAAAGTGCAGAACTGCTTGTTCTCCGGTGGGATGTTCAGAGATGGCGTGAAGCTGACTTTGGAGCGACCTTTTCCCTTGGACTGCCCGCCTCCCCCGCTTCTTACCTCGGGCATCAATAATACTAAAATGATCCTCAGACCTCTAGGAGAGTCACCTTTCCCGAGCGACGCGAATTCTACACTCTTGTAGGCTTCCGGGACCAGGCAGACTGTTCTTTCGGTTTGGTATTTAAGAGACGCGCTCTGAAACAGTCTTTCCAGCTCCCTCAATTGACTCTGAACAGAACGCACCAGGAACCTTCCCGTTCCAAGGCACCCTTGTTCCTTGTTTGTCTTCACTCTGGTGACCGCATGCTTTCTTTTTTGCTCTTTAACTGCTGTGGACGGCAAAGGAGAAACCGGACTCTCCCGTTTGACCTTTTTGACCTTGAGCTCACCTTGCCAGGATCCTTTTGGAGCCTTTGTGCTCAGACTGTCAAACTTGGGCTCAACAACAGCTGTGAGAAGTAGTTTGCAAAACAACCCCGGTGTGTGTGTGTGCACATGCATTTATTTCCAGTATATTTTGCAGCTACACGAATAAATGCATTTTCAATGTTTCCAATACAATATTCTGCACAGTTTTATTGGATTGCATATCACTTTTGAAAAATGCTGGTTGAATACTCAATTGATTGTAAATCACCATGTGCTTGTCAATTTCAAAAGCATTCTACAATTTCCACACTCTTGTTTCCGTCCACCCCTTTCCTTCTAGTGTTCTGGAATATACGTTGTTTTTGCCCTCTTCTGCCCTTACTCTTTACGACCTCACTTCTCCATCTCTGCTTAAAGGTGCAGTTTTAGTTCTATCACACTGGTTCTGGAAACAGTTTTTCCTATACTCTGTCTAGAAATAAGTTCTGGTGTTCCAGATAAAGCCTGCTAATAGAGATACCTGGACCAGATAACTATCGATAAACTGCTTTAGAAGAAAAGGTGATGAATGGGAATTTCTGAATTTCCTGGAAGAGGAAAAGACAGATATGAAGGCAAATGTAAAGGAACTAACTAGGTTGACTTTCCCCTAAGCACTTGGAAAGGCATAACTAAAAGGTAAGGATTTCCTTAATTCCAGAAAGCAGTAAAATGAAAGCCACCAAACCTACCACATCCGTCCATTAAAACCAAAAATAGAGGGGGTTTTTTTGCCATGTTTGAACTTCCACGCATTTTTGACTGAAATTCTCACAGCTTTTTGGTTTAACAGTATAATGAGGTCAGAATCCAGACATTTCAGAGCAAGCAGTATGAATTCTACATGAAAGACTTAAATAGAATCAACCTGTTATTCCCATGGTCTATAGTCTAGATCTTCATTCCTTTTAACAAAATTGAAATGCCCAAGTATTAGAACTAAATATATTTCTCTCTCTTTTTTTTTTTTGCTTTTTTGGGTGACACCCGGGCGTTGCTTCGGGGTTACTCCTAGTTCTAGCACTCAGGAATTACTCCTGGGGGTAACTTGGAGGACCGAACCCAGGCCATCCACATGCAAGACAAACACCCTCCCAGCTGTACTATCGCTCTGTAACCAGAGCTAGATGCATCTTAATCCACCTCTTAGAGATCAGGGAAAGTCAAAGAGGAAGGTCTTACATGGAAGTTTGGCTGAGCCTATCTCAAACTCCAACCTCAAATATTGACTTGGTTGCTCATTGATCTGTTTTCCCTTATCCTTTTGGAATTGCTCCCGTTTGCCTGCCCTTTCACATCCCTTCAAGCAGTGTGAAAATGCAAATCTATAAAAATGCAAAAAAAATCAACCCCCAAAGTTTTTATTTGTTCATGAAAACAAATGTGGAAGAAACCATGGGAACTTGGAGTGTATGTGGCTGGCCGAAGACTGCCAGCTCTCTTGGTAGATCAGGACTAGAACTGAATTCTTCCAGCATAGAGCCTAACCTTTCCAATAGCCTGAGGGGATGGAAGCTGTGCTAAACAGGAAGGAAATGCATGAAAAGGAATTCCCTGAGGGATCTCACCACCACCCATCCCAGAACTGAAAGGAAATAGTGGAAGAAACCATAGATTGAAAAGCTAAGAATTCTGGTCTGATTATGGCTTGGCCAGTAAATATTTAATTTTTTGACCTTGAGTACTCATTTCCCATTGCTTCCTTCCACTCCGTTGTAAAATGTCATAGACTGGAGGCATTGTTGTGAGACTTAAAGCCCAGGAAAGCATTCTGTGAGCAGCCCATAGTTAATCCTGAAAGGCAAGGTGCAGTTAGCAAGTCTACTTTTTGAGGGGGGTAGGGGGTTGGGGGTCACACCTGGCAATGCTCAGGGGTTACTCCTGATACTGCATCCAGATATCATTCCTGAAAGTGCTCCAGAGACCTTATGGTATGCCAAGGATTGAACCTGGATTTACCACGCACAAGGCCTTACCTCCTGTGCTATCGCTCCAGCCCCACTTCTGGTTTTCTTATATTTGCCTGGTTTATTTTCTCTGATGTAACCTATTTGGAAAGCTAGCCTTGCCTTGCCTTGCCTTTCTCCTCTTTTCCTTCCCCCTTTCCCTTCAGGGACAAGCATGTGCTCAGCCCTTTGAGCTATACCTCTCCATCCTTTCTTGCTAGTTTCTCCCCTGTGCTCCTCTCCTTGTTTCCCCTCTTCTCCCCCTCTCCTCCCTCTCCTCTGTTCTTTGTTTTGGGACCACACCCAGTAGTTCTCAGAGACTATTAATTCTGTGCTGGAGAACAAGGTCATACCCAGCTGTACTCAAGAGGACCAGACAGTGCAAAGTGTGACCTCAGCCGTTCCAGCTCTCTCCAACCTCATTGATAGTTTCTAATGATTGCTTCGATATGGATTGATACGGCTATGGAAAACAGGACATGGAAAGTCAATGTTAGAAAGGCTTATAATAAATACTGACACTTCAGCTTATGTGTCGGATAAGAGATGATTTAAGTAACTATCCAAGGTAATTTGCCTAAGAGAGCTGAGTGAGTTGAAGACAGATTTCTAATTAAATATACTTGATACAAATCACTGAAGTGAGAGACTCCCTGCCCCCACCCTACATGCCCCAACTGGAGAATCTACTTACAAGAATGTTAACCTAAACTCAACAATCACTTTAAGCAATGCTGCAGCTGTAATAGATTTAATACAGGTGATAGGCAGTGAGTCTCTTGACTTTACCTAGGCTCCAACCCCCAGACTTTGTGGTTTGGCAGGTAAGACCTGAGAATTTGCATATTTTTTTTGTATTTTTTTTTCTTTTTTTCTTTTTTTCTTTTTTTATTAGTGAAAAACCATGAGGCACAGTTATAGGCCCACAAATTTTGTGCTTGGGTTTCAGTTATACAATGATCAAGTGCCCATCCCTCCACCAGTGCCCGTCATCCATCACCACGGGTCCCAGCACCCCCCCCCTCATCCCCCCCTCCCCCCCCCCCCCCCCCCCCGTCCCATCCTGCCTCTGTGGCAGGGTATTCCCCCTTGTTCTCTCTCTCTTCTTTTGGGTACTGTGTTTTGCAAGAGAGGAATTGAGTGGCAATCATGTTTGGTCTATAGACTACTTTCAGCGTGATTCTCCCACCCTGGGAGGGTCCTCACAACATCCTTTATTTGGTGCTCTCTTCTCTATCTGAGCTTCCTTTTCACCTAGAGCCTGTGGCTGGCCTTCCATTCATGGAGCAAATTCCTGAGAATTTGCATTTTTAACAAGTTCTCAGATGACACAGATGCCAGATGCCACTGATATAGGGACCCCATGATGAGAAACACTGGACTATGTGTATCCTGGAATCTCTGCGTTTTTAGGAGTGGGTAGAACACTAGCTGAGTCGAGATAAGTCTGAGTTTCCTTTAGTACCCTTTTTTTCTCAAATACTTATATCCCTAGGAATTATTTACTTGGTAATTAATAGATAAACACTTAAAGCAGAAGTTCTCTAGCATCACTGTTTCCCAATCACCAAGAGGTGGTAGAGAGTTAGTACAGAGATTAAGGCATTTCTCTTGCATGTGTTCAAGCCTGGATTGATCCCCAGAACTGCTTATGACCCCTGAGCACTTCCAGGTGTGGTCCAAACCCCTTCTCCCAAAAAAATCACTTAGGATTCTTGATAACAACGTAGACTGCCACCTTATAACTACCCCATCCCTTCAAATACAATGAGGTTTGTGATGCAGGGATTTCCCTGATTATAATAGCTCTTATAAATAAGTATTTTGTGATTGTTATAGGAATCGTTAGTCATTGTTAGATGAATCAATCCAGGTAGTAGACTTTGTTATACATAGGTGGCTACTAATAAATCTTCTGGTAACAAAACCCTTGTACTATACCTTCCAACATTAAAAAATGGGGCTGGGGATGGGGTGGAGAGATAATACAGTGGGCAGGGTTCTTGCCTTGCATTAGGCTGGTTCAGATTTGATCCATGACACCCTATATAGTCCCCCAAGTACTGCCATGAGTGAACCCTGACTGCAGAACCAGGAGTAAGTTCTGAGTACTGCTGGCTGTGGCATAAAAAAAATCCAGAAATTTTATGTTAAATTGTAGGCTTTCCTGCGTAAATAATAAAGGTGTACAAGTGTCCCAAGTAAAACAGTATATGTGA